TTTATGAAATAAACATTTTAATACTCTGACATCAGTGCTGTGTTCATGGCAGGTCTCTGTATGGGAGTTTAAAGGGATGCAGGGGAGTGTAACGCACATCATGCCAAAGAAGCTTCTTTTCAAGAAATTTTACAGCTTCCAGAGTAAGAACCAGGCTTTCGTGTTTCAACATGCTGTGGACATTTAGACCTGTAAAAACAAATAGCATATAATGTTTTTCAACTTCACAGAAGCTTTAATACAAAAGCCACATTCCTTTATGTTCGGTCTACAATAAATGTGCGCTTATGTGGTTAAGTTTGTTTACCTATAGCTGGAATAATATTCACTGTTTTCAGATGTTCAGTTGCCTTGAGAATGTTCTGAGGGAATTCTTCACCTCTGGAATGCAAGCATGCAAAAAAAGAAGATTTTTTATTATTATTATTTATTTCGCCCTCGTGTCATTCCACAAATAAACACCTTTTTAATGAAATCGGAGTTATTTTAGTCCCTTCATTGACAGTCTACACAACTAACACTTGAATGCTTCAAAAAGTAAAGTGATCATAAAACTAATCCATATGAATTGAACAGTTAAAGGAGAACTCAGGCGCAAAATTAACCTTTGGTCTGATAAAACATCGGTACCTAGTCAACCGTTCTCTGAGATTTGTTTTCATTATAATCGAATGTAAAGATTTTTATCTCTAAAAACTGTTTAGCGTATAGGCTATGTGCACAAGCGTAGTTTCGAACTTCCGCTTTTGTCAGAAGTCGGCGTATCAGTTTCCGGTCTACGACTGGTCATCCGCATCCACTAATAAACAAACAAGATGAGTGCTGCTGTTGTACGAAAAAAAGAGTTCTTAAACACATCTAAGTTTCTAAGAACTGTAGTGGATCTAACGTCCGTTTCACACCCGTTTGCAGTGTGTGTTGCGGTGCAGGAGCGTGCTGTTAGTAGCCTACGTTCACATATTATGATGCGATTCCAGTGAATAACTGATCCGCGGCTGTACAACAAACACATACTTATTATTTTTTCGTGTCGCCCAAAATGTCTATTTGGTGCAGCCACTGTGCACGAAGGTTGGTGTTTATCAGGAAGCAGTAGAAGCTCAAATGGCTGTTAGTGACTTGAAGCAGAGGAAGTGCCGCACAGCAGTCTCCTAAAGCACCATGTAAACAGGTTAGGGCTTTCACTTTTCACTGGCGTGGTACATATAACAGCAGAACAGCGACATTTCCACACTGAGTCTATTTCTGCTGTGCTGCAAACGCTGGTGGTCAAAATGATAAAGATTGAACTGAAAATGTAGTAATTTCATCATAAATGCATCTAATTAAATAAAATGTAGTAATTTCACCATAAACGCACATTTAATCAAGGAACCTTCAACTTAAACTTCAACCAGGCGACAGAATGAACAACACTCGCAAAAGATGCAAAAGAAAAGGCAAGTCGGCTGCTTTTGTCAGTTTCAAGTTTTATTTTAAATTATTTGCGATTTTAATATAGTAAATATTTGACCACTTGCTTGAGCAACTTAGTAGCCTAATGCATGGAGTAATAGCCCTAACTTACATTGTTTAAATTGTTTTTAAACGTGCAAAGAATCGCATTTCTGACTCAACTTTTTGTTTTTAAAAATAAGTTGCAGCATAACTTCTGGACTTTAAATAAAAATAATAAGTATGTGTTTGTTGTACAGCCGCGGATCAGTTATTCACTGCAAACGCGTCATAATATGTGAACGTAGGCTACTAACAGCACGCTCCTGCACCGCAACACACACTGCAAACGGGTGTGAAACAGACGTTAGATCCACCTACAGTTCTTAGAAACTTAGATGCGTTTAAGAACTCTTTAAGTGTACAGACCGTTTAATAAGAAGGTACATTATAAAGACAGTTCACTTCGCGTATACAGGCAGGAGCCATCTCAGAAAATAGTCTCGATAAGTCGATTCCCGAATGCCGTTCATACAGTTCAGAAGTTCGCTGAACTTCATACAGTTCAGCTCACTCAGCACGACATTCGTGGTTTGACTTGTTTGACGTGACTGTTTTCCAAGATGGCTCCTGTCCTGTCTGTATACACGAAGTGAACTGTCTATATAAAGTATCTTCTTATTAAACGGTCTGTACACTTACAAATTTCTCAATGCTTAACTTTGCATGTATGGACCCTCATTATGTTACTGTGTAAGTGTGGGGCTATTTTGAGCCTTGTTAGTGGTATAAAGTAGCGATTTCTTTTTACTTAGTAAATGGCCCCAGTACTAGCATTATACGCTCAACAGTTTTTAGAGATAAAATCTTTACATTCGATTATCCTGAAAACAAATCTCAGAGAACGATGTTTTATTAGACCAAACTATGGTTCATTTTGCACTGGAGTTCTCCTTTAAGTCCAAATTTCCTTGATAGCTTTATATGATGAACTGATTGGAACGACATGAGGGTGAGTAATTAATGACTGAACAACTAAACTATCCCTTTAAGGAAACAAATATATCAGGTTTTCAACGGCATATACATCCACTCTTGCAGACTTACACGTCAACGATGAGGACTGAATCCCCCCACTGTCTGTGTTTGACCAGGTCCTGGAGATAGTGGGGGTCTAGAGTGGGAATCTCTAGTGAGTCCACAATATGAAGGTAATCCTGGAAAAATAAGAGACTATTTTGTCAAACAGAACATTTATGAACCAAACCACTTACTGACAAACATATCAGTTTTGCTACTGTTAACTAAAACTTAAAAAAAATGTTTGTTAACTGAGATAAAATAATTACATGAAAAAAAAAGTTTAAGGAAGTCAAACACCGTCGAGTCCCTGGCCAAAAATAGTGGTAGGATGGCATAAATCGGTAAACACGTAACACAGAATAGATAATGTCAAAGATGTCCGTTCTACTTTCATTGTCATTCATCAACTATTTTTTAACCATGACGGGATGTGTCATAGTGATGTCTTTTTAACTAACATGACATCAAGACTTTTGCATAAACATACACGTCACTTTCGAGTCAAGTGGCGTGTTATCTAAACGCATTTTGAGCTATCTGCGTGTATGTCTGTCTACACCGTTAAATGTCCGAGTGATTCCACGTGTATGTTCACGCCGTTAAATGTCAGAGCGAAATGAAGCAAAATGTAGATCCACATCTAGGGAGGGATTTCCTAGGATGGTAAGGGAACACTCATAAATGGTATTAACCCCAGTGACGGGTAGGTTTAGGGACGGGGTTGGGGTAAGTCATATATTTATAAATACATTAATGTAACGTTAAGTCAACGGCGTTGACAAACACGTCTGAAAAGCGATTATGCGTGTCATACACACGCTATTTCATGAGATCAGTCTGTTTTAACGGTAATTAAACATCCAAATGTTTGCTGGGTAAAAGCTAAATAAAAGCATAAAACGCATAATATAACAAATATTTAAAATTGAAAATGACAACTGACCATTTAAAAATTTAAAGCCTACAAAATATGTAATACTAAAACAGTATAATACTGAAGTGCATTCCAAAGAAAGCAAGACTTTTAGAGCACAGCCCTCCTCACCTGAGCCAGTTTGGCAGTTAGGGCGATTTTCAGCCCTTGCACCCGCACCTTCATGGGCAACATGTAATAATAGCTGGTTGGTCCTCGTGGACCATGAGCTACTCCTCCTGAATGTGCAAGAGGAGCATTTGTTTAGTGATTCAGAGGGTTCACTGCTATCTATGCCTTTAAAACTAAACTTAAATTATATCTCACCTCCCCTCCATAGTGGAGAACGAATGCTTCCTTGTCGTGCCCGCCCACTTCCTTTTTGTTTCCAAGGTTTCCTCCCTCCACCGCTGACTTCAGCTCTTGACTTAACTTTTGCATGGCTCTACAGTAATCACATTACATATATTTATTTAATTTGCAACGATTCAGTATAACTGTAAACCAGAAAGCATATAATGCTCCTCACGGTTACTTACTATCCGTTTGAAATTACGTTGCCAGACCTCTACAGCATGGAGAATGTCCAACCTATTAATAAGAACAGAAAAAAAGACCATTTGTTTGCAGCATAACTCCTGAAATGATTCAGAGGATTAAATGGTTTACCTAACAGGCACTGAGAAGACATCAGGGTGTAGGTCAACCACGCCAAGCGGTTCACTGTCAAGACTGGCCAAAGACTCGAGCCATGTTTGAGTGGGTGCCAGGTGAGCTGGGATATTGGCGTCACATCTGCGCAAAACTGGAAGATCAGAACCGGATGGAGGAGCCCTCTCTGAAACAACAGTTCAGACATGCTCAGTTTGATAACACATGCCACATGCATTTTAAAATGGCATTGTTGCACTTTCATTAACAGCTTAAAAAAAATAGCTTGGAAGTCAAAGTTCCTTCCAATCATTTAATTATTTAAGTTGTTATTACTGTGAAACTACATTAAATGAATATAGGTTGCAACTTGCCCTTGCACTCCATCTGTCATTTGGTTGAATAGCTTTAATTAATAACGGAGAATATAGAAAGATAGAATAATAGAAAGTTCTCAGATTTATTGTGGCAGCTGTTGGTATATTTTTTTTTAAAAACTATTTTTTTTAAAGTGGTGTACTTTTAACTCAAGGATGTAAGTAGGCGTGTAAAGCTGCAAACGCTTCAAAGACAAAGTATTTTTCTTCTCACGAGAAGAATGCATTATAATTCTCTATAAAGCAAACAAAGCTTTGCCTACTTTGTCCTGCGACTCCGATGAGATTTGATGGAAGTCGTAGATTTGATGGAAGCGCGCTTTCTCCAGAGACCGATGAGATGAACTGGTTTAAGAAAAATCATGGGGTAACTTGTCAGTGTGTATCAGCATGGACAGAAATATTGTATGCACAAACGTTTAACATGATGAATTGCATGCGCACACTTACCCTTTTAACAACTGTTCTTCCACATATTGCCAACGTGGTACGAAACATGATGCGGGCTGAATAAAATAAATACTCAAAGCACTGGTGTTATAATTTCAGCTTATTACATTGTTTAGTTTTCCTCAGGAAGGTCGTGATGGCGTGTGCACGCTTCCGTCGCCATCATATGACGTAAGCCACCACGTTGTTGTCACATGTTCCTTCAGAAATCGTTCTAATAACGCTGATTTGTTTCTCAGTTATTATCCATGTTGAAAACTGTTTTGCTACCTAATGTTTTTTTAAAGAACCCGTAATGTTGTTTTCAAGATTCATTGATGAATAAAAAGAACAGTGTATTAGGTATTAGAGTGATTTCTGAAGGATCTCGTGACACTGAATACTGGAATAATAGCTGATGATTCAGCTTTCCTTCACAGAAATAAACAATATTTTAAAGGATATTAAAATAGAAAACCATTAATTTAAATTGTAATATTTCACAATATTGCTGTTTTTTATCAAATAAAATTAAATGCAGCCTTGGTGAGCATAATATACCTTTTTTTAACACACACACACACATATATATATATATATATATATTTATATATATAATTTTAATATTTATACATAGATTGAGATGAGCATATGTTATTGTATATGCAGGTATCTTCACATTCTAAAATATACTTACTGTACATTGTTTCTAAAACAATAATGTAGTTATAATATAGTTGATGTGATTTATTCAGAGACACAGCTGTATCTAATTAAGTATTCATGGAATACTAATTAAAGGGATAGTTCATTTTAAAAATAATTTTTGATATGTTTTAGCTTGCCTCAAGGGCATCAGTATTTTCAATTTTGATATTTTTCGGTCAAACCGTTGTTGTCTTAACAGTCATATAATGGAGGTTTATGGGGTCCACCTCAAAGAGCATGCACAGAGAAGTCCAAATTAAACATGATTTAATGACTCGTAAATGTAAGTACACATTGATGGCCTAAGACATGAAAATGAACACTATTTATATTGTTTTTACCTCTCGTAATCACAGTCACGTCCCAATACTCTGAGGGCGAGGGCACCTAAGCTCGTTGCATTGAAACACATTGAGAACCACTCATTTCGTGTCTTAGGCCATCAATGTGTACTTACATTTGCGAGTCATTAAATCAGGTTTAATTTTGACTTCTCTGTGCATGCTCTTTGAGGTGGACCCCATATACCTCCATTATATGACTGACAGACAATAACGGTTTGACCTAAAAATATCAAAATTAAAAATACTTTGGAAAAAAGATACCAACATCTTGGATGCCCTTGAGGTGAGCTAAAATATATCAAAAATTAATTTCAAAGTGAACTATCCCTTTAAGCGACCAAACCTAAATGACCGTTTTTATCTAGCTCATTCATTTGGTATTTTTGAAATGGAAACCCCACCTTTGTTATTTGCACAAAAAAACATATATCACAAAAGCTGAACACAATCCTAAGTAATGTAGAACACTGTGAAATTTTCAAAAATAAGTGATTCTTTAATTTGTATCTTACAACTACAGGTGCAGAAGTTTTTTTGCTGTTTATTAGCCAACAGACTCTTTACAATAGGCACAGCCATACAGCCTTCATCACAAGGTGATTTGTGTGATTGCATAGTGCAGTTTAAAACCTAGAATTTACATCCCAAGGTCAGTAAAAGACAAAAAAAAAAAGCGCCACACAACATTTTTTTTTAACTCAATCAATAAAATGTCAGAAGAGAATAAATCAGGTCAAAAGAAAGACCCTTGTGTTTAACATATCAAGTTGTGTTGATATGCAAATTATAAATGTTAGTCAAATTAGATGACATATTAAGAAAACTATGGCAGAAATGAACATAATCCGTATAGTAGTTGAGGTGCCGCGCAATATTTAAACACAACTTCAGACAAAGAATTTCTAATCCTCTGTCAAAAAAAAAAAAATCTGTTTATTTGATCTAAATGGGAAGAATGTTGTGGCAAATGTGATATTTTGCCAGCTGGCACATCAAAAATCAGAACAAAATTTCAAGTATGATCTTAAGAATCCCAATTAGAATAGTCCACAGGATGGATTCCTCTTCTTCCATCACATCATCGGGGCCCTGAGAGTGTTGAGACTGACCAGGAGTCTCATCTGAAGGATAAGAGTTTTTCTCAATTTTACCTTCTTTCAGTGCTGTCTGGTCATAAAACACCTTCATCTCAAACTCACTCTCCATGTAGGAGGGATGTCCATAGATCCCGATTCCAACAGGCCTGAGAAAATCCCCCGGGACGACCACCACATCCTGGCCGCAGGTGGTAGACTGAAGCTTGTAGGAATCAAAGTTTGGCCGCAGCGTCTTGTCCGAGACGTAGAGATCCGCATCCCCTTTAAGGCTTTGCATGTGCAGGATAATGCGTCCTTCGTGGTTCAGACGCAGGTAGCTGTAGTTTCCCGCCCCTATGTGGCCTTGCACGACATGGAGAAGGGCCCATTCTTCTGGCACAGAATGCTCCTCTGAAAGCTGCAGAGAGCCCAGGGCCCGGGACAAGGCCGCCAACACCAACAAACCACCCCAGCACAGCGCCATGTCACTGCTGCCAGACCCCAGCTGCACCTGTAACCTGCCTGCAGTCAAAAACATATATTTTAGTTTAGTGTCATCAGGGCCTAGCAAAAAAAAAAAAAAAAGAAGAAGAAGAAAGAAAGGAAAGTATTGTATTTCAGCTATTGGATTGGATCAAATCATGTAAATAGATTGTTTAAAAGAAGATAAAAAGATTCTGAAATCAGATTAGAACACTAAATCTAATCTGGATTTTGATCTACATCTAGAACTTCAATATGAGTTTAAAACCTTTTTTTATAGGAGTGGGATACAAAAAAAAATTGATTATCCTGATCCAACTAGAAGAATGGATATCAGGAACAAAATGTAATATAACTTTACTATTTGTTAACTAATACAGTACTTTAAAATATAATGGATTTATGTGATGCAAAGCTGAATTTTCAGCATCTTTACTCCAGTCTTCACCATCACTTGATTCTTCATAAATCATTCTAATATGCTGATTTATTATCAACGTTTAATGTTTTTTTGGAACATGTGATACTTTTTTTCAGGATTCATTGATAAATAAAAAGTTAAAAAGAGCAGCATTTATTAAAAATATAAATATTTTCTAACAATATCAAGCTTTACTATCACTTTTTATCAATTTAACACATCCTTGCTGTATAAAAGTATACATTTCTTTGATGAAATCTAATGACCCCGAATTTTGAACGGTAGTGTATATCATTAGCCTACAAAGGATTTCAATTTTAAATAAATACTGTTATTTTTTAAATTTCTTATTCATCAAAAAAAGTAAATACATACATATATTCGGAGGGATCATTCATGTGACACTGTTTTCTGATCAAAATATAGGTTAAAAGTACATTCAAATAATAAACCATTATTTAAATTGTAATAATATTTAACTATACACAGACACCCATATATATATATATATATATATATATATATATATATACACACACAGCACTTGATTTAACCATAACAGTACTAAAGTACTGTTTAAAGTAGATAAAGTAGAAGCAGGCTATATATTAAGGCTTTTGTTACCCAACAGCTGGACAATTTCAAACAAAAGCAATACATTTCATTTTAACTATCATTAATTACTATTAATTACAATGACACAGAGAGATGAACTCTTAAAACTAATTTCTAACAACTGCATCCACCTTCTTTGTGACACAAACAGTTCTCCATGAAGATTTTGATAATGTTCCAGTTGTTTGGTTTGAAAGGGACTCGTGTGTGTGTGTGTGTGTGTGTGTGTAGTGCTTAAAACATCACTACACTATTGACAATGGGCCTTTTTCTTGTCTGCAAAATTCAACCAAAATATTGCTAATGTGGCCGCACCTTTATTACAAATTATTGTGATTGTTTTTATTATTTTGTTAGAGGTCAGAGAAGGGTCCTGACTGTTTAAAAGAATTTGAAATTGAAAGGGGATGTTTGAACGTTGTTTTTTTGTGCTGTTTTCTGTCTCTTCAATAAAAAACACAACGAGACCCAATGTTGACTATTCTATCTTTATATTATATCTTTATATACATTGTGACACAAAGTCTCACTTAGTTTGTCTGATCATCTGGATTTGGTCATCTGGGAAAAATATGTTATCTGCAGAAGTGTGATTCATTACAATGTTGTTTTGAAAAGCCTTAGAGTGATCCGTTTCCTATAACATATGACCAAGAGACTTTCTCCCCAGAGGCATTCTGAATCTAAACCTTGCATAATGGTGAAAGGGCACCATTTGACACGTCATACATCTGGACTGACTGCTAAAAATATCTCTCTCTCTCGCTATTTTTAAGCAGCCACACACACACAGCCAATGGTCATGGTCGTGTACTGTCAGTCCTGCCAGAGAAATATGCTTTAAGACCCCATATTCAAATGAAACTGTAAATACTAACCGAATTGTGCAACTTCGTTTCAGGCGTATGCTAAGCAGTCTTAAAGTAGTTATTTTGTTTTTCTTTTAGATAGCTTTTGTTTCATACACAGTCGAATGTAAAAGCAGACATTTAAAGGTGAATTTGTATAACGTTAACAGCGATGTTAAAAATAGACACACGTGTAGCCTCAAAATACCCTAGTATATATACATACATAAATATATATACATACATCAGATGAGTATATATATATAACGTTACTCTACAAAAATTATTTGCACAATGCCACATACTATACACTCTCCGTTTCTAATTTAAAACGGCATCTAATTCTTGAAACTTGCACAAAAGAATAAGTCAGCTATTCAGCTAGCTGGCTAGCAGACCAGTAACGTTAGTTTTTATGAAACTGGAACAAAAGAACTATTCGTCATTCACATAGGTTCTAACAGAGACATGTATTGTTTTGAGTTACCGGTGCATTGTCAAAAATAATCCATGAGGAAGGAGAGTCGGCGTCGTTTTGTTTGGAATTTTCTGTTACAGGTGTTGAGTTGACTTCTGCACGTTCTGGGACGTGATGCCATTATAACGCGCCGCAGCGTCCTCTGTAGGACAGGAGGACAGCAGATCTGCAATGATACACATTATTACACAAAATAATCAGAATTCTCATGTGAGATTTGGATTTAGAAAACATTATTAGCAGACGAGTTCAATAAAATAGTGAGTGGAAAAAGTGTGCTTGTTCTTAAAAAGTCACAAGAATGGTTGAACAATTTTCAGGTTATCAAAAGAAGCACATTATAAGCATTAGGCTAGTTTTATGTGTAATTAGAGCCACCTGACTAACTGGTCTACGGATATCTGAATGTATTTAAGCAATAGGCTTTTTAGAAAGGAACATTTAAAACATGAAAAACAAACAAAAATCATTGTGAATAATATTATAGGCCTACACAATTAAAAAGGTAACTAAAGTCTGATTAAGAGTATTTTAAATTGAAATATAATCTAATTACAATTACTTATTTTCTTAATCTGATTATGTAATTCAGGTTACATGTACCACTTACCTTTAACAATAGCTAGCTACCGAAGAGATTGTAAAATGCTTTAGTTCATCAGATCCTGCCTAATCATTCCCTGGTAATTTGTTTTCATACACTAGAGGGCGCTGTGAGCCACTGGATTCAGTAGCAGCGCTGATTCTCACAGCTCTCGCCGGGTGCAGTGGCGCGCGCCTGTTAGTCCAAGCTACTGGGAGGCTGAGGCTGGTGGATCACTTGAGCTCAGGGGTTCTGGACTGCAGTGGACTATGTCGATCGGGTGTCCGTGCTAAGTTCGGTATCGATATGGTGCTCCAGGTCGCCTAAGGAGGGGTGAACCGGCCCAGGTCGGAGACGAAGCAGGTCAAAGTCCCCGTGTCGATCAGAAGTGGGACCGCGCCTGTGAATAGACTCTGCAGTGCAGCCTGAGCGATACAGCGATACAGCGAGACTCAGTCTTTTGTGTGAACAGTTATTCTGTGGAATCTAATAAACAACAGCAACAACAAATGAACACAAAATAAAGCCCTTAATGGCCAAATAAAATTATCCAATCCAGTCTTTATTTATTACTATAATAAAGTACATTTGTTATATATATATATATATATATATATATATATATATATATATATGGCTTCTCTCTTAGATACATACCAATGCGTTATATTTTTTGTAAAGTATCGCAAATGTAATTTAGATTTCAGAATTTTACATATAGCCTAGGCTATAATACGTATTTAATGATCAAACAGCTGAAAACCTATTCTGCCCTACAAAGCAAAAAGGCAGTAACTGCAGTTTTGATAAAGCATTAATTATTACAATTTTCATGACATTCAAGGCATCCTTTGTTATATGACAAAACATCTTATCTTAAATGCGTGTCGTTTTAGATAAAAATGGTAGTTGTTTGTACAGTAACTGCAAAAAGCCCTAGCAAAAGTCATTTTTCTCAGTTCTGCACTCTGCGTAGTTACTGCCTTTTTGCTTTGTAGGGCAGTATTGATAAAGCAAATGATTAATTGGTTAATCACTACAATCTCGAGACAAGACTGCCAATATTAAAATGAAAAGGCAAAAGTGAAAAGAAACTGCAAATACAGTTTTCACAAAGCTTTTTTATTAACATTCATGCTATAATAGTATGGAAGGCATTTTCTGCCGAAATTAAATAAATAAATTAAACGATAAAAAGTCAAAATAAAACAAGTTTAACCCTTTCATTACAGAAAATGGTACGCAGAATATGTGACAAAATTGATAATGAAATTAAATGATTTCATTTTCATTTTCGTGGTGATAGTGCATCATCCGTCAAATTGAAAAATAAAATGCAATTGGTGATTTCACGTTTCATTTTCACTACAATCTCGAGACAAGACTGCCAATATTAAAATGAAAAGGCAAAAGTGAAAAGAAACTGCAAATACAGTTTTCACAAAGCTTTTTTATTAACATTCATGCTATAATAGTGACAGAAATCAAATTCAAATGTAAAGTTTAGTTTTAAATTTTAATCATTTTATTTCCTCTTTTATTTCACAGTTTTGATTTTCGTTTTCATTTTCAAAGACAACCTGTATGCAAATTATATGTTAATGAGTGGGTGTGGTTCGCAACAACGCCGTTGCGTGGAGGAGGGAAAATGCCGGTTATGACCAGTATAGCAGCAGAGTTAAACCAGCTTGCAAATATTTCGGATGATGATGACTTCATTTTGCTTCGAGTTGAATCTATCTTAGACACACTTGGGCACTTTGCAGCCGTCACAAACTCCGATGTCGATCATCTAGTTGTTAATAATCTAGGTGAGATTGTGCAGTGCCTTCAGGCAGTAAATTGTCCGGGGAGTCTCGTTTAAAGGGCACCTATTATGCCCCTTTTTACAAGATGTAATATTGGTCTCAGGTGTCCCCAGAATGTATTTGTGAAGTTTCAGCTCAAAATACCCCACAGTTAATTTATTATAACCATTTGAAAATGTCATTTTGGGGCCTGCTTAAAAATGAGCTGTTTCAGGGGGTATTCCACCTTAAATGCAAATGAGCTGCATATCCCCGCCCTGCCTTTGGATGAGGGCGTAACTTGATACCTATGGCAGGCAGTCGGTACTGAGAGAGTGAAGAGACGCGCCGTTTTGAATGTCATTCAGCCGTACGTTTGAATCGGAATATATAAATAGCATGAAGAGACTCCGGCAGAATAAACATATGAGAATGGACCAGTACGTCTCGGTATGGTTATTTGCTACTTTTATGTACTTTAGAGTTGTAATAGCGTCCCATTTGAAATGATGGATGTCCAACACACACACACACACAGACACTAGCGCAAGTTTTTGAAACTACATACACATTCTGTGATAAAGTTTGCTACGTACGAGCGAAATTACATTTATGCAGGGACCTGTGGCATCATGTTTAGCTTGTCATACGGGTGCTTCTGTGGCAAATGTGAGAAGATGGCTAACTTACAGAACACCAACATATGCAGTTTTTAATACAATATCTTTAAAAATATATATATTTATAAACGTGTGGTTACACACTATACAAACAAGGTTTTAAATTATATACACAGACATCCTACGACGGCAATAACTTTAGACGCATTTGTTGTTGAATTGGCTGACATTGACTGAAAAGACTATTTGCTCAAAAATCATAAAATACACTTACTGTTACTGGAGGTGACGGTGGATCGCAAACAGTAGACAAGAATCCACACTTGAGGATTAACTTTTAAGCCACAACAACAGGATTAACCCACGAGTCCACGACAGAACATTAATTTACGTTTCCAAGAGACATTACCGGCTGTCGTCGTTGAAACAATGAAGGATGGTGTGTACAGATCACCGAGGGCGGGGTCTAGGCCACAGCCACACTGTCAATCAACCCCCTGTCTCCCGTTCTACGTCACAAAGACCTGGATCTCAGAACAGCTCGTTCTGAGGCAGTGCAGATGATTTATTGAGATTGTAAAAAAACTACTGGATGGATTTTTATCATTCTAGGGTGGTTTTGCTCACACACTGCCAACACACATTTATGTTCAAACACCATGTAAAAGTGAATTTTCCATAATAGGTGCCCTTTAATGTAGGCCTACATTAAATTACAAATACAGTGCACAATATATATTTTACATGAAAAACGCTTTGCTGACTTTTACGATGTTACTACTAAACGTGGAAATGTAACTTAACCAGTCCGTGAAAACTGAAAAGGGTCCATTTTAAATATAACGTTACGTGCAACAAGGTGAAAGCTGTTCGCTTCAGTTCCGTTACCTCATATGATGCTCTTTCATCCTCCGTCTGATGGTTCTCTCGCTCGCTCCGAATAAGTTTGCTACCTCTTGAGCAGTAAAACCATTTAGAAGATACATTCTTAGCGTTTCTACTGGGATGTCATACCTTGGACGACCCGGGCCGACGAGACTTCCCGGACAATTTACTGCCTGAAGGCACAACCTCACCTAGATTATTAACAACTAGATGATCGACATCGGAGTTTGTGACGGCTGCAAAGTGCCCAAGTGTGTCTAAGATAGATTCAACTCGAAGCAAAATGAAGTCATCATCATCCGAAATATTTGCAAGCTGGTTTAACTCTGCTGCTATACTGGTCATAACCGACATTTTCCCTCCTCCACGCAACGGCGTTGCGAACCACACCCACTCATTAACATATAATTTGCATACAGGTTGTCTTTGAAAATGAAAACGAAAATCAAAACTGTGAAATAAAAGAGGAAATAAAATGATTAAAATTTAAAACTAAACTTTACATTTGAATTTGATTTCTGTCACTATTATAGCATGAATGTTAATAAAAAAGCTTTGTGAAAACTGTATTTGCAGTTTCTTTTCACTTTTGCCTTTTCATTTTAATATTGGCAGTCTTGTCTCGAGATTGTAGTGAAAATGAAACGTGAAATCACCAATTGCATTTTATTTTTCAATTTGACAGGGATGATGCACTATCACCATGAAAATGAAAATGAAATCATTTAATTTCATTATCAATTTTGTCACATATTCTGCGTACCATTTTCTGTAATGAAATGGTTAAACTTGTTTTATTTTTAATTTTTATCGTTTAATTTATTTATTTAATTTCGGCAGAAAATGCCTTCATACATGTGGTTACAGCTCTAATTTAAATGTATTGTGCTAAAATAATTTAGCATTTAAACAAAAATATAAAACAAAATAAGACAATGAATGTACCACTTACCTTTAAAAATATAGCTAGCTACCAAAGAGATTGTTAAATGCTTTAGTTCATCGGATCCTGCCTTATCATTCCCTGGTATTTTGTTTTCATACACTAGAGGGCGCTGTGAGCCACTGGATTCAGTAGCAGCGCTGATTCTCACAGCTCTCGCCGGGTGCAGTGGCGCGCGCCTGTAGTCCAAGCTACTGGGAGGCTGAGGCTGGAGGATCGCTTGAGCTCAGGGGTTCTGCACTGCAGTGGACTATGTCGATCGGGTGTCCACGCTAAGTTCGGTATCGATATGGTGCTTCTGGGGGAGCCCGGGACCACCAGG